GGGCATCTCTTTGTGGCATTTGCATGTTCTTCCAGTGTCGGCCAGATGCTCTGTTTTCCTCCAGGTGCTCCGGTTTCCCCTATACCGCTAAAACATATCCAAAAGCTCCCTTCTCTTTAGGGCCAGGTCTCATCTGAAAGATCCTCAAACTTCAGAGGGATTTTTCTGGTTGAATAAAGGTCAATAAATGGTTGTGTTTGCACCCAGTCATTTTCGAATTTGGAAAAAAGCTAAACCGTTTCAACACCTCCCTCTGGTGGTAGCACAGGGAGACAGCACTGTGTAGCCTTGATTCATGCTTCATCATACGTTCTATTTTTATGTCACATTTCAAAACATGAAATGAGAATTATTATTTTTTGCCAAATACTAAAGATATTGTGTATTTATTCTTTGACATGAACTGACATAATATTCACTGGAAACATGTTTAAAAGGACGGTTTGTTTCATCTGTGCAATCTCAAAATCCAAATTCACTTCTGCACAAAACAAATGACATTCTGTGACTAACGTCTGCTTCGCCAAGAGTGAATACAGTTGACTGATCACGTGAAAACTGCCGCTCAGTGTAACATTTTTTGCAAACAAGATTCAATCAAAGAGAACTGGTGCCCCCGAAATGCCAAAACTCTGGTTGCGTGAGTGGTGTAAGATATTTATATATATTTACACATTCTGGCAACACAACTGCACAGCCTTGTTTGTGTTTTTGCCTCATTCTTGTGTATAATAACTCATTCAGCGGCTGTAAAACGGACCGTCTAAGCATTTGTTAAGTCTATAATAAAAACAATGGGACCGGGTTGGGATGATTGATGGCTTGTGCTTTTTTCCGCTTCTGAAAGCTTTGTTACGGTGTCACACTTTAATAACTACTTCAAATGTGCATTGAAATGACTTTGCTTCACTACAAGCGACTGCATTTGCACCTCAAAAACAAGTGCTTAGGCTTTTTATAACGTCAAGAAGAACGCAGAGTTCACATGGGTATTGCTTAGAGGAGGCTTTGGTTGCCAGTTTGACGGAAACATTATGTCTATTATGGTAAAACGGTGAGAAATAGTCAAAGTGATGTTAGCTCAACAGTTTTGAAGATCTTCCCACAGGTTTTCTTCGAGATATACAGTATGTCTGGACCTTGACTGGGTCATTCTGACACATGGAGATTCCATTATAAGTCTGGATGTACGGTAGATAAAATACTCCTTTATAGTATCCCATAAGAGAAATGTGTCCTGGAGCAGGGGTTCACATGCTTTTCACCACATATATTTAGTCACGCTCATCTCCACTGTTGAAACTAAAGTGCATCACTTTTGCCTTCTGTGGGCTTTTTCAAAATGGCTGCAAGGCTGGAAAATTTGAAAAAACGTATTTGATTTACGTACGATTTACCATTCATTTAACGAGTGCATTCAAAAGTCCACAGCGGCTAAACAAAACTAAAAAAACTCCCCGCTGCATCTGAAACGTAGCCAAGAGCGATTTTTGGACCATCTTGTACAGATGTTTTCAAGAAGAAAAAGAAGGCGGAATTCGGGTAATTCTCTTTCCAGGTACACCCCCACCCCCAAGGAGTGAGATCGCAGAATCTCATGGACCTCTTTGAGCCGGGACCTGCCCCCACTGGTGTAAAAACAGACCAAGGTTAAAAGTGCATGAATAAAACAAAAACAACTGGAAAAAATGTACACTGTGAGATAGATCAACTACAACAGTTTCAGTGCAATGGAAAGACCATTTAATTAATTAATAAAAACACTGATTATAGCTTCTGGCTGTAATCAGAAGAGTCATTGATTATTCTAAGAGCTAGGTTTAAAAGTCTGGATTTATAAAGAACCTTCAGAACAGGCAGTTCACACTCCTCTTACAGAGCGGAGCACCTCTCTGGTCTCTCCCTGGTCTATTTCTCTGGTCTCTCACTGGTCTCTCTCTGGTCTCTCTCTGGTCTCTGGTCTCTGTCTGGCCTCTCTCTGGTCTCTGGCCTCTGTCTGGCCTCTCTCGGGTCTCTCTCTGGTCTCTCTCTGGTCTCTGGCCTCTGTCTGGCCTCTCTCGGGTCTCTCTCTGGTCTCTCTCTGGTCTCTCTCTGGTCTCTCTCTGGTCTCTCTCTGGTCTCTGGCCTCTCTCTGGCCTCTCTCGGGTCTCTCTCTGGTCTCTCTCTGGTCTCTCTCTGGTCTCTCTCTGGTCTCTGGCCTCTCTCTGGCCTCTCTCGGGTCTCTCTCTGGTCTCTCTCTGGTCTCTCTCTGGTCTCTCTCTGGTCTCTCTCTGGTCTCTCTCTGGTCTCTCTCTGGTCTCTGGTCTCTCTCTGGTCTCTCTCTGATCTCCCTCTGGTCTCTCTCTGGTCTCTCTCTGGTCTCTCTCTGGTCTCTCTCTGGTCTCTCTCTGGTCTCTCTCTGGTCTCTCTCTGGTCTCCCTCTGGTCTCTCTCTGGTCTCTCTCTGGTCTCTCTCTGGTCTCTCTCTGGTCTCTCTCTGGTCTCTCTCTGGTCTCCCTCTGGTCTCTCTCTGGTCTCTCTCTGGTCTCTCTCTGGTCTCTCTCTGGTCTCTCTCTGGTCTCTGGCCTCTCTCTGGCCTCTCTCTGGTCTCTCTCTGGTCTCTCTCTGGTCTCTCTCTGGTCTCTCTCTGGTCTCTCTCTGGTCTCTCTCTGGTCTCTGGTCTCTCTCTGGTCTCTCTCTGATCTCCCTCTGGTCTCTCTCTGGTCTCTCTCTGGTCTCTCTCTGGTCTCTCTCTGGTCTCTCTCTGGTCTCTCTCTGGTCTCTCTCTGGTCTCCCTCTGGTCTCTCTCTGGTCTCTCTCTGGTCTCTCTCTGGTCTCTCTCTGGTCTCTCTCTGGTCTCTCTCTGGTCTCCCTCTGGTCTCTCTCTGGTCTCTCTCTGGTCTCTCTCTGGTCTCTCTCTGGTCTCTCTCTGGTCTCTCTCTGGTCTCTCTCTGGTCTCCCTCTGGTCTCTCTCTGGTCTCTCTCTGGTCTCCCTCTGGTCTCTCTCTGGTCTCTCTCTGGTCTCTCTCTGGTCTCTCTCTGGTCTCTCTCTGGTCTCTCTCTGGTCTCCCTCTGGTCTCCCTCTGGTCTCACAGCTCACAGTCCTCTTTCAGAGTAGAGCACCTTATCTAGAGCGTTCCTTCTTAACCTGTGCTGTCACCAAACCACATACAGAGTCTGCAGCGATACAAGTTGTGTTGTTGAGTCTGAGGAGTTGAGAAAAACGCCTGTGTGATGCTGCCGAATCGTCCTTGTATCACGGATCGTGAAGAGTAGCCACTGGGAAGCCATAGAGTTTTGACTGCAGGAGAATATAGATTACTCACACATGCATGAATCACACTAAAAACAGATTTGACAAGGAGGTAAGACAACAGTAGAGAAGCCGTGTCGAGTCCACTGAGCATGTGTCCTATTGCATGTTCTACCTCACTGCTGTTTGTCTCGCTTGCTGGTCCACAAAGCCAAAAGCCAGAGGGTTTCTGGAAAAGCCATGTATTTCCCTGACATCTTGTTGGTAATAATAGAGTTTGACTGGACCAGCCACCTCAGCAGCAGACTCATTCATGGGAACACACATGTGGGCTAAGGTGTGCTGCTGCGTGGGTGGAAGAAGCTGTAACACGGAAATCAACCTGCCAGACTTTTATGCACCACTGGCTCCTGCTCAAATAAGAATCTGTCTGGGAGAAAATCCACTGGACCGGGTCTTAATAGGCACAAGGAGATGTCAGCTCGCCTCTGAAAGAACACAGAAGTTTACTGAAAGAGAGGGTTTCAAGTTTTAAAAAGCAGGTACCTTCTCAACTGATGCCATTTCAGACTATTTAACAAACAACTAAAGCACGGCAAGTTTATTATATAGCACAGTTCATACACATTGTAAGTCAGAGTTCATTCAGCAGGAGGCCAGTCCCTGTGCTGATGGCTTATTAGTTAGAACGGCAGAGATAGGCTAGTTTATGGATCACACCCAGACTTACACAAATAATAATCAACCAGAGTTTACAGATGGCAAAGGCCACGCTGTACTCAAGTAAACCAAACAATAATAACAATAATCACCATATCACTGATCGTACAGTACTTTTGCATAACTATGGACCTGACCTATTAGAGACACAGAGCCCACACACAAATATACACAAAATAACGAGTGATTTGAACTTTATCTTGGAAAAAAACGATTAATAAAATGAATATAGCCTGAGCCTCCGTGGACCCGGTTTGCCACGGTTACGATCAAAGCCCCAGACGGCGAAACATGTGGGTTATAATTTAGGAGATATAGATCTGAAGCACATTAAATTGACGGGCACTTTAGAAGATAGAAATTGCCGCATTTGCATGAAGGGATCTGATAAAGGCGCTGTTAATAAGCCAAAGCCATCTCGTTCCCTATTGGACCCATGCTCCGGTAATTGGTTCAGGGCACTCTCCAGGCTCCGAGCTCTCGTTACGACATAATCATCAAAAAGTAGGCATTGAGTTTGGGGCTTGTACTTTGGATTTGGACAATATATGGCTGTGAAAAGTAACACGTGTCGCAGCTGCAGGTTGGCGCTCGTGAATACTTGCTTACATTTGAGTTTCGCTGATTACGACTTGAGTGACAGACCAATCACATGGCCTGTAGAGAAATCGGAGCCGCGGTCATGATGTAATTCAGTGGTAATGGTGAGAGCATGCTTAATTAAACGGACATGGGTGGGTTTTAATAACGCAGAGAACATGAGTGGAGGATCAAACATGCACCTGTCAGAGATATATTTAATTAAGGGCTACGTTAATTATTTGATTTCTGAATTTACACTGAGGAAGTTGGTGATTTATGGCTGGTGCAAATCCATCGGGCTTAAAACATTTCTTGATTCATGGATTGACATTTCCCAGTGCTTAGTGACGTGGATTAGCTGTTGTTGTTTGTGCTAAAAGCAATGGGTGACAGGGCTTTCCAGGCGGCTGCTCACAAACTGTGGAACGCCCTACCACCACACCTGAGGGCCCCACAGACCACCACACCTGAGGGCCCCACAGACCACCACACCTGAGGGCCCCACAGACCACCACACCTGAGGGCCCCACAGACCACCACACCTGAGGGCCCCACAGACCACCACACCTGAGGGCCCCACAGACCACCACACCTGAGGGCCCCACAGACCACCACACCTGAGGGCCCCACAGACCACCACACCTGAGGGCCCCACAGACATTGGAGAACTTTTCTGTTCCCTTCTTAACATTGTTTTAACATTGTTTTAAATTTAATGATGTGTGCTTTTATTGTTGTTGTTCTGTAGCACTTTGAGATTTGTATGTAAAGTGCATTACAAATTAAAGGTATTATTATTATTATTATTAAAAGTCTGAAGTAAAAAAAGTGGGATTTGCTTCAGTACATTTGGGTGATTTTACAGTTTTTTAATATCCTGTGGAGTCTGACCTGCATGTGATGTTCTGTGGACCCTTGTTAAAGCTGTATTACTGCTAAACATTACAGTTAGTCTTTTATCGCCCTAAGGCACTTATCTCAAAGGACGAACAGGTTTTAGAAAGAAACATTAGGATAACAATGGTGTCCAATGTTTGAAAGAGTCAGTGAATTGTGTTGCATGTGTGCAGATGTGTTTGTGTTGCATGTGTGCAGATGTGTTTGTGTTGCTTGTGTGCAGACGTGTTTTTGTTGCTTGTGTGCAGACGTGTTTGTGTTGCTTGTGTGCAGATGTGTTTGTGTTGCATGTGTGCAGATGTGTTTGTGTTGCTTGTGTGCAGATGTGTGTGTTGCTTGTGTGCAGATGTGTTTGTGTTGCTTGTGTGCAGATGTGTTTGTGTGCAGATGTGTTTGTTGCTTGTGTGCAGATGTGTTTGTGTTGCTTGTGTTTGTGTTGCTTGTGTGCAGATGTGTTTGTGTTGCTTGTGTGCAGATGTGTTTGTGTTGCTTGTGTGCAGATGTGTTTGTGTTCAGATGTGTTTGTTGCTTGTGTGCAGATGTGTTTGTGTTGCTTGTGTTTGTGTTGCTTGTGTGCAGATGTGTTTGTGTTGCTTGTGTGCAGATGTGTTTGTGTTCAGATGTGTTTGTTGCTTGTGTGCAGATGTGTTTGTGTTGCTTGTGTGCAGATGTGTGTGTTGCTTGTGTGCAGATGTGTTTGTGTTCAGATGTGTTTGTTGCTTGTGTGCAGATGTGTTTGTGTTGCTTGTGTGCAGATGTGTTTGTGTTCAGATGTGTTTGTTGCTTGTGTGCAGATGTGTTTGTGTTGCTTGTGTGCAGATGTGTGTGTTGCTTGTGTGCAGATGTGTTTGTGTTCAGATGTGTTTGTTGCTTGTGTGCAGATGTGTGTGTTGCTTGTGTGCAGATGTGTTTGTGTTCAGATGTGTTTGTTGCTTGTGTGCAGATGTGTTTGTGTTGCTTGTGTGCAGATGTGTGTGTTGCTTGTGTGCAGATGTGTTTGTGTTCAGATGTGTTTGTTGCTTGTGTGCAGATGTGTTTGTGTTGCTTGTGTGCAGATGTGTGTGTTGCTTGTGTGCAGATGTGTTTGTGTTCAGATGTGTTTGTTGCTTGTGTGCAGATGTGTTTGTGTTGCTTGTGTGCAGATGTGTTTTCTGTTGCTTGTGTGCAGATGTGTTTGTGTTCAGATGTGTTTGTTGCTTGTGTGCAGATGTGTTTGTGTTGCTTGTGTGCAGATGTGTTTGTGTTGCTTGTGTGCAGACGTATTTGTGTTGCTTGTGTGCAGATGTGTTTGTGTTGCTTGTGTGCAGATGTGTTTGTGTTGCTTGTGTGCAGATGTGTTTGTGTTGCTTGTGTGCAGATGTGTTTGTGTTGCTTGTGTGCAGATGTGTTTGTGTTGCTTGTGTGCAGATGTGTTTGTGTTGCTTGTGTGCAGATGTGTTTGTGTTGCTTGTGTGCAGATGTGTTTGTGTTGCTTGTGTGCAGATGTGTTTGTGTTGCTTGTGTGCAGATGTGTTTGTGTTGCTTGTGTGCAGATGTGTTTGTGTTGCTTACTCTGACCTGCAGTATTTTGTACAGAAACTTAATGACTATAGTGTTAAACTTATGTTGTTCTCTTGGAAGTAGGAGTGTGACGATATATCGATATTGTTATGTATCGTGATACTTTCTCACACAGTCAATTATCGATATGCTTTTGCCAAGTATCGATTTTTTTATAAACATATTTTTTAAATTAGTATCAATACTGAATATATGGCACATTACGCATCTCCATCCAGAGTTGAGAATTAGTTAATAATTTACACTTATAACTATTTTGTGTTTATTCAGATTATTATTATTATTAAAGGATTTCTATAACAGTTTATTTCTGACCAATATATCGATACTCGTCATATCGTGATATAATTGTTATCGTGAGCTTTGTAGCGCGTATCGAATCGTATTGTGAGGTGCCCTGAGGTTCCCGCCCCTAATTGGAAGTGATTGAAATTCCATCCATCCATCCATTTTCTACCCTTTAATCCATTTCTGGGTCAGGGGGGTGGCAATCAGAGATGCCACCCAAGTCTCATAGCACTTGAAATTATTCTGGATATATCCTGTAAATATATAAACAGTATTAGCTCGGTCCAGAGGGGAAGGAATCAATACATTTGAGCATCATGAGTCTCTTTGCAAATATTTGTAAATGGATCTTTTTATTTGTATTTTTTTGCAATTGACTAACTCTTCTATGTATTTGAATAGATGCTCAAAAAAAATATATATTTATAAAAGGTACTCTGTAACTTTTAGAGTTGCTGTGAAAAAAACATAATAACCAATAACCTTTCTATGAATATTAACCTCGACCATGTTTTTGAACTGTTGTCATAGACTTAGAGATTGAATTATAAATGTTTTAAGGTGTACTGTAATATTAAAATCAAATAATATCAACAATGTCAGTCGTGGGAGATCTTATTTGAGAACGATAGGAGATAAAACAAGGAAATGTGTGGTTATTTTTAGAAATAACTTTAACGTCAATTTGTCCCTTTAACGCTTAAACGCTCCTCGGATTGTCACGCAACATTTTATTTTGCGTCTGGAGCTGTCAAAGCCGGCTTTAATAATATTCTAAATTATAAATGTGTCTGTGATGTGGCATAATGTGACACAGTGAAATGTATGAAAGAAAAGAGGGTTGGCTGCAATTAATTACACATTTGCAAATCTCAGCAGCGCGAGGCGGCGGTTTTAACAAGGTCTCAGCAGAAGTGTGGCTTAGGCTGAGGGGAATCTTCTTTTTTATGGTCGGGTCGTAACTTCTGTTCTCCCATATCAGGAAAGTGCATGTGTCATTTAGCCACAGAGATTTCCGACCGCCTTGCTCCTCCTTTTTACACCGAGCTTCACGCTAGGGCAGAAATATGGGCTGATTTCTCTGCAGCGGTTAGAGCAGGCAGGTCCAAACTCAGGCCCGGGGGCCAATTGCGGCCCTGAGTGTATTTTTCTGTGGCCCTTTGTCATGCTAAACCAAAGTAGTCTTGGAGATCATAAACACAAGTTCACTGTGTCATCCATCCAACTGTTCTAAAGCCCAGGACGTCATTGACTTTACTTCTACATACTTTACTGATGTGGTGTTTGATTGTTTAACTTCTGCTGAGGTTGCTAATGTAGCTGGTGAGATGGTAAACATGTGTCATTCAGCCAACTTCAGCTTTGTTTAAGATCATTTCAAGGCTCAGAACAGCCCGATGCCAGTCAAGACAGTTTTTTTAATCCGTGATGTCTGCCCCTGGACTAGCCAGATGAACTAAAGCCTCTTACTAAAACGTTTGGACACCCCTGGTTTAGAGTGAAGTCTGCAGTATGTTCTGTTTAAATTGGACATATTGACATGACTTTTTGGAGAATTTGACCACGTCACAACCTTGTTCCCTCATCAAAAACAGAGCAGTTTGTTAGATCCAGTCAGACTAATATCAGGGACTTGTGGTGCACATAATTGCCCGAGGACATAGGGCTCTGTCTGACTGATTGACATTGTTGGAAAAAGATTGTTCTCAGGTCGGAAATGACGATGTACTGGTGCAAGGCTGCTTCAGAGCGTGGGTGGGGGGGGCGAGAACAGATCCACTTGGGCTTAGGGTGGACTGTGAAAAATGAAAAAGAGTATCCTGCTCTCATTTGTGTGTATCTAACACAATTCAGCAGTTAGCCTAACTCCTTCTGAAAAGACAAGTCAGGAAGTAGCGTCCAAGCTCCTTTTAATTGTCTCCAAAACAGAGTAAAACTGTAAAAGAAAAGATAAACATTCTTACTATTGTGTAAAAATATGCTAAAGTCAACTATGACAAAAATAGACTCAAAAGCAGAGGCACATATGGATCAATGCTACATCTAGTTTCATACAATACTCAAACTTATTATAAAGGACACATTTTTCACACACTTCAAACCCAAATATGGTTACAAAATGCTAACACAGGACTATACAAAAAGAAACTTACAGACGATGATGTCAAAAAGACAACAATATCCGCAGATGGCACTGGATGAATGTGAGGAGATGTGCTGAACTCCAAAACAACTAAAATGGCCGATTTCCTGTCTGGATCCCTCAGCTAGCCTTCAAAATAAGATTGCTTCCTGTCTCCAGATAGCCCTTCAAAATAAAATCGCTAAACCCAATTTAAGACAAAATAACGCACATTTAGAGGGCACAACACTCCCCGCCTGGTATCTGTAAAGATGCCAAATAACAAACTGAAACACCTGAACTAAACATTCAGTCTTTGTTTTTTAGAAGAAGGATGACCTCAGATACAGGCCGAAGAAATTTCTTTGTATATCCATCCTTTGATGTCTTGATCTCGATCTTGCGGACTTTACCATCTCGTCCCGGAAAAGTTTCTGTCACAAGAGCCATAGGCCAATCATTGCGGCATGTCCGGCTGTCTTTTAGAAGTACGACATCACCTTCTTCAATGTTGGGACTTGACTCTTGCCATTTGTGTCGAACTTGCAATGTCTGCAGATACTCACGTTTCCAACGACTCCAAAACTGGTCTGCTAATCTTTGGACTTGGCGCCATTGTTGCTTGTGTAAGTCTTTGTCAGAGAATTTCCCGAGGGAGGAGGAACACTCTGCTTACGTGTGAGAAGCATGGCTGGGGTGAGTATTTGAGGAACTTCTGGATCTGAAGAAACTGAAACTAATGGCCTGGAGTTGATAATGGATGTCACCTCTGCCATAAGGGTACAGAGGACTTC